AGACTTCATATAGTAGGAATAGGATTGAATATATACTTGAGTAGAGGAGACTTCATATAGTAGGAATAGGATTGAATATATACTTGGGTAGAGAAGACTTCATATAGTAGGAATAGGATTGAATATATACTTGAGTAGAGGAGACTTCATAATAGTAAGAATAGGATTGAATATATACTGTCAAAATATCGACAAAGGGTCAGTGTCTAAAATTTTTAATCCAGCATAAAACTTTTCTTTAAAGATAAGGACATCTATACTGTTTCTACGACAAGGAAGAAGCACGTCAAAATAAAGTGAAATAGACAGTTTTTATTCACAACTTTTATTATAGAGAAATTGAGATAAACAAAAAAGTTTTAAATTTCGAATATGTAATTAAATTTATTTGTCTTTTTTATACCTATGAAGTAAGGGGTCACAACGCCGGGTAGCAGTAATGACACATAAATTTGACCTTTTCCTTCTGTCTAGTGTGCAGTAAAAATAAATCCATTTGATACATCTTTTTCAGGCGATCTTCTTGTTTTTGTTCGTAGTTTGGCAGATTGTCGCTTGGGAAGGTAACAAAATACAATAAAATAAAATTAAAGTTTGAAATATTTGTTTTCTCCAGGTTATTCTTCATCCCCTATTGACTGCCTGCTAAGTTTAGAGGTGTGGGGAATTCTTAGAAGCTTGGTTATGCTTGCTGGGACATTAGCTAGTTACAGGTTATACAGATATATAGATATATAGATATACAGATATACAGGTATACAGGTATACAGATATATAGATATACAGATATACAGATATACAGATATATAGATATACAGATATATAGATATACAGGTTATACAGATATACAGGTATACAGATATACAGATATACAGATACAGGTATACAGATATACAGATATATAGTTATACAGATATATAGATATATAGGTTATACAGATAAACAGACATACAGATATACAGATATATAGATATACAGATTATACAGATATATAGATATACAGGTTAGACAGATAAACAGACATACAGATATACAGATATATGGATATACAGGTTATACAGATAAAAAGACATACAGATATACAGATATATATAGATATACAGCTTATACAGATAAACAGACATACAGATATACAGATATATAGATATACAGGTTATACAGATAAACAGACATAGAAGATATACAGATATACAGATATACAGATAGACAGATATACAGTATACAGAGATATACAGATATATAGATATACAGGTTATACAGATAAAAAGACATACAGATATACAGATATATAGATATACAGGCATAGAGAATAGAATATATATATAGAGAGGAATTTACTAGAAAAAAGTGTAAAACGGCCATTTTGTTGTACTGTTTCCATACTGCAGGTGTACTTCACATATTTATGCTATATAACCTGTTGGGCCCTGGAATATCATTTTATAGAAAATCTAAAATTTTTGTTAAAAGAAAACCAAATTATGAAATAGGCTCGTTTCATAATTGACCAATGATCATTTCACATAGACTCTATGTCTTCCACTGTACAAACGATGATTTTCCGTTATAACTATAAATCAAATGATGTTTTTATCCACCTAATTCATTATAAAGTTTATTTAACAGCTTTAAAAATTTCGAAATTGAAATGAATAGTCTAGGGAACATACTGTATTAATGTACTCTACTGCTTATAATTTGTGAACATTTACATGATTTGTACACTTTGAACTCCCTTTCAGGCTGAAAGGGACTGAAAAAATTCATACCGAGAGATTCTTTTAATTCCTCTCTATATATTCTATTCTCTATGTATACAGGTTATACAGATAAGCAGACATACAGATATACAGATATATAAATATACAGGCATACATGTATATACAGGTATACATATATATCTATATATATTTACAATGCAAAATTAGAACTTGCAAAAATTAATTTTAGGAAACAACACATGCTTTTTCAGGAAACAGCACATGCTATTTCTTATATTTTCCTGTATATTTCTGTATTTGTGAACTCTATATGTTTACTTTTCTTCTTAGAAATGTAAAAGTAAATATGGAGAAATAGAATTTTCTTTGTCGTTGCGTTTATTTTTGATAATTTTTCACCCAGTGTCAAAGGTACATAAGCTACAATTTATCAAAAAGAAAACATATGTTTTGTTCCTATACTTCTCTTCGCTAGATGACAGTAGTTTTAACAGCATAAATTTGATTTAAGGAACTGTAATTTAAGCGTAATTTCAATGAACTCTCTATGTAAAAATTGCAATGTCTGAATCCCAACAGTACCCTTAAAAGTATTGTCTTATCAAGTGTGAATTGGAGAACAATTAACAATGTTAATAATTTCGAAAATTTTCAATTGTGGTTTCTCTTCAAAAGTGACTATCACTGTGCACAACTTCAGAAAACATAAAGAAATCATCACAGTTTTAAACCCAGAAAAACTAGGATATCTTTTACAATTGCAATCAGAAATCAAGGTTTCGAGGGTACTGTTTTAATAGGGCGTTGTCATTGAGGGTCACATGAAATGAGGCTGATTAATCCCTTTAAACCTTGAATGTTCCTTTTTTAATTTTTGGGAAAAGAATTTGAATTTGAGTAGATACACATTTTATTGTGACGTTTTTAATCTTTTAGAAACTAGTTTGATATAAACACACAATAAACACAGAATGTATAAAGAAATGCCGGGACAGAAAGGTAGAGTGTGTGAAATCGCTTTTCATTTACAGTTGTTGAGAAGTCTTGTTACAAATACGTCACAATTCAAAAAAACTATTCCAATCTTCCACACTGCACATGAATGAAAATCCAACTCATGCACATCTATTTGTAAAGTTAATGTAAATAATTCCTTCATTCCTTCTATAAAAAGAAATTGATGAAGCTCAAAAATTAAATTTGAAAAAATGCATCGAAAATACTTGTAAAAGACGTAAAAACTGAATTCCCATAGCTTTGTTTACAAAAAAATAAACAAAGTGCAGCCCACATACTATAGATACAGGGTGTCCCACGAAACATGACAGTTGGTAAATAGTTTGTTAGTCATGTAATAGTAAAATTAATTTCAAAGTAAAATATATTTGAGCAACGGATTTGTTTAACATAATAAACTGCTGAAAGCCTTTAATATCTAGTACAGTGTATCGAAGACGACATTTTCATTTACAGGGTGATTCATGGGTCACCCTGTATAAACAGATTGCTCATAAGCTCTCACGGTCTAGGCTAAGCAGGTCTATAGTTGTACCGACCCGACATGCTACATTTCCCCGAAAAGTTTTGAACTGCCATCTAACGGCCACTTGTTTAGGGCTTAAGTTTTACAATTAAAAAAAAAACTTCAATATTATCGGTCAATTGTACAATTACTCCAGTATGGGGGAGTTCCTGACAATAATTTTGAAATTTAAAAACAAAATTAAAATTTAAAATTAGATTTTATCTAACATGATTCTTCTTATCTTCCATCTTTCTAGAAAATATCCCTGGATTTTGTTCTCAAGTTTAGAAATTCAATTAACAAACAATTTAGCTTTAAAGGTTTTCAACAAGAGAGAATACTAAAAGTTTGAACAGGTTCTATTTGTTTTTCTAACATATTTAATTTCTATTTCGTTATGATTCAACATTTTCAATTTGTATGATCTAAATACAATATAATCTTATTTAAATTTTATTTCCCTCGCAAAAGTAACTAAGGCAAGGTTCGGTTTCTTCGATTTGAATTTAGTCCCATGCATGATGGTCTATAATTCAACTATCTTTAAAGGGACAGACCGGCTATGTAAGGTAGTTAAACTGAGTATGCAGTGTTGTGGACAAATTCTTTAGGATACATTTGAGACATAAAAAACGGGTTTTTTTAAAATTATTAAATAACGATGACGAAAAATAAAGTAAAAATTCTATAGTAAACTAATTTTAGATGTGTAGGAATATATTTCTCAAGAGACATTTGTCAATAAATCGAAGTTAGAATCAATCATTTCCTTTTTCATCATGATATTGAATTTCTTATTTTTTTATGAATTTGTTTGCAGATTTCTTAAAATTCTTCAAATGTCGTTTTTTTAATAAAAATTCTAGAAAATCTGCAGAAAATCTTTGTGATTAAAGAGAGATTATAGAAACTAATAATTGGATAAGATTACTTATTTCGATGATATGATTAATTGTTATTTTCTCAACCTGGTCCTAAACAACTGATTAGTTTACTCTAGAATTTTGTTTCCATTTTTTGTCGTCATTATTTAATAATTAAAAAAAAAACAATTCTGAAAACGTATCCACCCAAAAGTATGATTTTGAACGTCGACTTTGCGCTCAAACTAAGGATTTACAGATCTTTAAAAAGTTTTATAAGTCTCAAATGAATCCTAAAGAATTTGTCCACAACACTGACAGTGAAATTAATCTTGCAAGCTCTCACGGAGATATCGTCGAGAATTTGTTAATTACTTTTTAAAAAAAATGTACTGTACATGTAAAGGGCTACACAAAATCATCAGGCCTATCGACCATGGTCTTGACAAATTATGCATGTTTTCATAGCTGACTGCACTGTTAACCAAGCCAGACAAGCAGCACGGTACAAATACAGACTATTTAAGGCAAACCGGGACAGTAGACCAAAACGAATCAATTCCTTCTAGAGAAATTCTAGTGTCTAAATCAGAGATGCATGAGTACGGAGATCTATTAAAGGCTAGAATATACGATATTTTCAACACAACAATTTCCATTGTGTACAACTGGAGTACATGACCAACTAGAAGACATCTATCTTCAGGGATATTAAAGAATCCTTAGGATACGAAATACAAAACCTTTTAAAATAGACTAAATTCATAAATTTTATGTTTGAAATTAAAAGTTAAAATAGTTCTTTAAAAACTGTAAAACATAATTCTTAAAGGGTATTGGTACAACAAGTGGTGGATAGAAATATTACATGTCAGGCCGGTACGACTATAGGCCTGCTTAGCCCAGCCCGTAAAAAATGATTAGCAGTCTGGATCTCTGTTTTAATTCTCACATTTCATAGATTTATTCTGCTTGCTCTAATAATTTTTTGATGATTAAAAATATCTGACATTTATTAAAATATATGTTTCTAGGTATATGAGTGGTGGAGTGTGGAGTGCAGGATTGAGTGAATATCACTCTGGTTTAGAAGAATCCACATCACTCAACCACTGTTCCTATCCGTTCAATCATCACTCATTATTCATCCTGGCCTTGACAGGTCGTTTCAGCTTGCAGAGAATACATATAACTAGGCTTTTAAGGCGCTTCGCGCCCCCTTTTAATATAAAAATCTTAACTTTTAACTGTTGTTCTGAAAGTCGGCCATTTTAAACCATTGTCAAATTTTGGCGGGAAAAAAACCAACTAGTTTTAAGGATTTTTTTTCTCCAATTTTTAATTTTGATGTTCCATAAATCTTCCATGGGGTCATGTGAGGTTCCACACAAAATTTGGGCCCGATCGGCAATACCGTTCTGACGTTTATTTGATACAAACGGACAGAGAGACAAGCAAAGTATATATAGATACAGATACATTTAAATGGGGGAATGGGATAAACTCGTTTTTAATTATCTTTTATTCTTCGGCAACACAACCCGTCCCACGAACGAACAAAATAATATAGTTAATCAAATCTTTTAAAAATCATTACAATTTGTTTTGTAGAATTCAGTGGTTCCTGTGTCCTAACATTTCTAGCGGATAAGATATTTTCAAATAATTTCTTGATAAACAATGATCCAGAAAAATATTTTAGGTAATTCTTTATGGAAAATTCTTGTTTTTATTTTTGATATTTGAAAAGTAAAGAGGTTGTACTTTTAAGGTTATGGGTTCAAAAGAGATTGTTTTTTATAATTGTAATTGGTGTGATCCATTGCTGGTACAGTGGTATCCACAAAACAGTGTATTTTTGTCGTCTTACTTTTTGAGTTACAAAATGTCGCTTTGAAATTTTTAATTGTACAACAAAATTAAATATTTAATCATTAAAACGATCACTTGCACTTAAATGTTATTACAGTGTCCGAATTTAATGAATTTAAGCCGCGTCTTAAATCCCCCCAAAACCGGTTTCAATTGAGCGCCGGGTTAAATCTTGAAAAATTTAATACAATTTTAAGTTAAACCAACCATATTTGAGCCGCGGCTCAAATTCTTAAAATTGGGCCCCATGGTTCTTTATACGCTCTTATTATAAATCCATTAAGATTAATTTGTATCAAAATCTATTGTTTATAGTGGAAGTATATTTGCATTTTTTGTCATCATTTTCGTTCTCCTTGGAATGGACATTTCAGGTAGAACTTTTTTATTTTTTTTACTTTTAAAATTTACAAATGAAATATTTATACAGGAGCCATGTTCCACCCAACCCTGGCTACTCTTCTTCTAGGAATGTTAAGATAATAATTAAAGTTTTTAAGTTAAAGGATGAGATTTCAGAGACGACTTTAATTATATAGATTTTTTCCTTACATGAGAGGTTCTCTGCAGAGGCAAAGGGAGTGTAAGCACAATTAAAAGTAACCATACATTTACATTATGGGAAGGAACGATTTACAACGGTACTTAAAACCTACACATTTCTTGCATACAAGAAAGATGGAGAAATTAAACACTTATCAAGTTAGAAAAAGGAAGTTGTCATCCGCATTTTGGACCAGATTTAAGGTTTAAGGATACTGTTTTAAATTTGGCATTATTTTATCTTTGCATAGAGGTAAACTTAAACTTAAACCTCTTTGAACTTACTTTTTAGTTTTTTCTGTTTGTTTGTCCGATCATAAGTCAAGAACCTCTGGACCGATTTGCCTCAAATTTTGATTGGGGAACTCGGGAGACCCACGGAAATGTTCTAAGCTTGATTTTAAGATTCTAAGTCGAGTGAGTCGACTTTAACCCTATCTCCGCTGGGGTACTTGAAAACATGGGATTTAGAGGGGGGGGTCAATTTGACCCCCCCCTCTAAATCCCATGTTTTATGTCCAAATATGACAAATGATACATCATTAGAAAGCTCTTGTGCTCTACTTTTAGAATCTGCAAAAAAATTTGCAAATTTGCGAAAATTGAATTTTTTATTATATTATCCCGGTCAATCGTTCAAGTGCGGGTAAATGGTGGTAATAACTTTTAGAATCCGGGCACCGCTGGGTTCCCAAGCTAGTATATAAATAAAGTAGTAATATCTTTCTTTCTGTTTGTTTGTCCAATCATAACTCATATACCCCTGAACCGATTTGCCTACAGTGAAACCCTTAATAACGAATACATCGGAAGAATTTATCAAATGTCGTCTTGACAATTTTTCATTGAGTTTTATAATATATTACGTAAATTTCAGTATTTGCGAAAATAAATAGATAGCCATGAATATGCATGAACAGTTTTAAAGAGTTCCATATAATCATTTCATGAAAAAACTAAATATCTGCAACATTCCATTATCAGAAAGTGAAGAATACGACATTTGATGAATTCTTTCGATGTATTCGTTATTAAGGGTTTCACTGTATGATTTTGAATGGGGACCTTGGTAGAACCACGGAAGGTTCTTAGCCTGGTTTAACCAAATTTTTGATCGATTTTTTTAGGTAAAACTCCAGGCGAAGCTTGGTTACCAAGCCAGTATTAGATAAAGATAGATAAGGTTTGAAGCGCACTGAATTTCAATCTTGACAATTATCATAATAAAATGAGAGCAGGTGGTTGCAAGGGTCAAGGAGCCTTGGAGCATATTCTTGTTTACTGGTTGGCTCCAATATCCGGAGTTTGGAGCGCGAGATGGCTCCAAAGATTACCTACAAAAGATATACCTCAATCAGAAAAGAAGAAAAAGTTAAAATCTTCTTAATTTTTAATAACTTTGATTTGTGTGTCATTTTTTGCTTTGCCTCAATAGCTTGCCTGCTATAGAAAATTATTCAATATCTTTCATTATCTTAAAAAAAGAGATATCTGTTATTTTATCTTTTAGTAAATTCACCCAAATGCAACCAAAAAAAAAAATGAAATCTCAATTTCTCACTGTATATTAGATGAAAATAAATATGTCGTTTTTTAATAAATTTTATATTCTTTAAGCCTAAATATACCCTATTAAATGAACTAGTTAGGAATTGTATTTGTACAGTGTACAGTGCAGAGTGTAGCCTAAGTGATAAATGTTCAGAAAAACCGCGGATTTTCAACTTTTCTCCAATCTGTTTCGAAGTCTCGGTAAGGAAGCTGTTCAGAAACTATCAGATAATCCCCTAACTTTTTGTTCGTAAAATAGAAATATCGAAAGAATTTCGATCAAAGTTATTCAAAGAAAGTTATGAACATTTAAAAGATAAAATATATTTGTTAAATCAACTTCTTAAAGACTTACAGACCATTTAAATATTCAGAACCTACAGAATGCCAATATACGCCAACATACGCCAAAATACGCCAAATCGAGTTTATTTGTGAGCAAATTTTTATATTAGACTTAAACAATTTTTCAAAATGATTCATATTCTTCTTTAATTTTATGATTAATCCTTGAAAGTCGTAATTAGATGTGATGTGGGACACCCTATGTAAAATGTACATTAACGTGAGGTGCCTTCAAGGCTTCAAAAGGAGAAAAACAAAATAAAATCTGAAAAAATTCTATGTCTTCGCAGCAAATTTGAAAGCACATAAAAAGGTAGACTCTATTTTTGAATTTGATGCATCACATTTAGTTCAAAAGTTTCACGATCCGAACCAGCTTAACAATGATTGCCTGGCCAGATATTAAAGCAAGTTTCATATTTAGTCGTTTTAATAATAGTAATCAGAATTCAAAACTATGAATTATGACACACGTCAAACTAAAGTAAATTATGAATTATGACACACTTCAAACAAAAGTAAATTATGAATTATGACACACGTCAAACTAAAGTAAATTATGAATTATGACACACGTCAAACTAAAGTAAATTATGAATTATGACACACGTCAAACTAAAGTAAATTATGAATTATGACACACGTGAAACAAAAGTAAATTATGATTTATGACACACGTCAAAAAAGTAAACTATGAATTATGACACACGTCAAACTAAAGTAAATTATGATTTATGACACACGTCAAACAAAAGTAAATTATGATTTATGACACACGTCAAACTAAAGTAAATTATGAATTATGACACACGTCAAACTAAAGTAAATTATGATTTATGACACACGTCAAACAAAAGTGAATTATGATTTATGACACACGTCAAACAAAACTAAATTATGATTTATGACACACATCAAACTAAAGTAAATTATGATTTATGACACACGTCAAACAAAAATAAATTATGAATTATGACACATGTCAAACTAAAGTAAATTATGAATTATGACACACGTCAAACTAAAGTAAACTATGAATTATGACACACGTCAAACTAAAGTAAATTATGATTTATGACACACGTCAAACAAAAGTAAATTATGATTTATGACACACATCAAACTAAAGTAAATTATGATTTGTGACACACGTCAAACAAAAATAAATTATGAATAATGACACACGTCAAACTAAAGTAAATTATGAATTATGACACACGTCAAACTAAAGTAAATTATGATTTATGACACACGTCAAACTAAAGTAAATTATGAATTATGACACACGTCAAACTAAAGTAAACTATGATTTATGACACACGCCAAACTAAAGTAAATTTCACGTCAGATTAAAATCTTATATATTTTCAATCAAAACTCCTCCAATTGAAGAACGAAGCAATGAAAAAAAATTGTTTTTCGAATTTATAACTTTACTTCTCTCATATTTGTGCACAATATCCAATCTCCATCTTTCTGGTGAAGCACAATATTAAATATGCTAAAATTAAGTATTCTTCCACAGTTTATAAATAATTAAAATGTTTTTTTTTTTATACAGGAAAGAGTTGAGTTTTTGCCACAAACTCAGATTTTGTATTCCCTGTATCTCTGCAACCCGTTCTTGTAGACTTTTGACATTTCAAATAAAGAATTCTAACAGATCAAATATTCTAGGTTTGAAGTATAAAAGGTTCAACATCCGATTGCATAGATAAAGTGATTAGAAAATTGGAGTTTGTGGCAAAAACCCAACTCCTTTATGCTGAAAAGTTTTGGTTTTGAATTATAATCTAACACACATGTCAATTTGCAGGAATTATTCGTAAAAGATTTTATTCTGTATGAATTATTATCATTAATTCTCAAGCACATGTTGTGTAATGTTTAATTTGCACTGCGTTTAAAAGTTATGTATTTTGCGTAGCTTTTTTATGAGATAAATAAATATTGATTAAACTTTTAAAATCTATTTCATTCTGAAAATCTAAGTATAGAGGGACTGCAAAGGAAAAATGAAAGGGGGTATAGGCTGAAACCTCAGCATTTTAGGTGTTGATCAAGACCCATGAGAGTTCTATCTGATGTTCCTATCTCGAGAAATTGACATAAAACTGTGTTAAAGGAGTTGAGTCTTTGTCACAAACGCTGATTTTCTGACCCCACTTTCTTTTTCATTTCTAACATCGCAGACTTTTGATATTTCAAGATATGAATTTTATAGATAACACAATTATAAATAGAACATTTTATGGATGAAACAATTATAAAGAGGACATTTCATTGATAACACAATTATGATAGAAAATTTCATAGATAACACAATTATAAAGTGAAATTCATTGATAACACAATTATGAATAGGACATTTCATAGAAAACACAATCATAAAGAGGACATTTCATAGATAACACAATTATAAAGAGGACATTTAATTTGTGGCACAATCATAAAAAGGACATTTCATTGATAACACAATTGTAAATAGCACGTTTCATTGATAACACAATTATACATAGGACATTTAATTGATAACACAATTATAAATAGGACATTTCATAGAAAACACATTTATAAATAGGAAATTTTATAGGTAACGCAATTATAAATAGAACTTTTTATTGATCACACAACTATGAATAGGACGTTTCATTGATAAACAATTATGAATAAGACATTTCATAGATAACACAATCATAACTAGAACATTTCATTAATACCACGATTATAAATAAGACTTTTAATAGATAACACAATTATAAAGAGAAAACTTTATTGATAACGCAATTATAAAGCATTGATAACACAATTATGAAGAAAACCTTTGATAACGCAATTATAAATATGACATTTCATTGATAAAAAAATTATAAATAGTACATTTTATTGATAACACAATTATAAATAGGACATTTCATAGGTAAAACAATCATAAATAGGACGTTTCATAGATAACACAATTATACTTAGGACATTTAATTAATAACAAAATTATAAATGGGATATTTCACAAATATCACAATTATGAATAGGACATTTCATTGATAACACAATGGTAATAGGACATTTCATTAATAACAAAATTATAAATACGATATTTTATATATAACAGAATTAATTATCGGACATTTCGTAGATGACACAATTTTACTTAGGACAGTTCTAGATGACACATAGAACATTTCTATAGAACTATTTGCCATGCACGTCTTAATACGATTGAGAAGAAGAAAAATTGTAATGAACTGAATGAAACGTTTAAACAGTTAAAACGATTAAAGGGTTTTATAAAAAGTTGGTCATTTAAATGGAGTGACCGGCAATGTATGGTGGTTGCACTGAGATTGCAGTATTGTGGACACATTTTTTAGGATTCATTTGAGACACATAATATGTTTAAAAGATCTATGATTACTGAGTTTTAGCGCAAAGTCGATGTTCAAAAATCAATTTAGGTGGGTACTCTTTGAGAATCTTTCTTTTAATTATTAAATAACGACGGCAAAAAATCTTGATCTTTTTACATTTTATTCCCCCCCCCGTACAATTAATTTGATATATAGTGCAAGTACGCTACTCATTAAAAAACTAGATTTTTGGGTAAAATTCATCTATGATATGCTACTATGGTAAGGTTGATTGAGTAAGATTATCTACGCGAAGCGCAAAATTTGTTTTTTACATTTTTCCTTTTAATGGTTATCATGGACATGGAGAATGGAGATCAAGTTACTAAACGAGGATGTTTGTGTCCCCAAGATTCTAGGGGGGGGGGTAAGTAACCCCAATAACCCCCCATATTTACGCCACTGTTAATATGAAACTCATTTTTCAGCGGCATTTGATCTTAAATATGTAATACGACATTATAGAAAACTCTTGCTATGAATTCGTATATCTGGGAATCACTGTACATGTCGCCCCCAGGGAAATCTTGGGTTCCCATAAAAAATCAGCAATTTTGGTTCAGCCGTTTCTTCTTTATCCCCAAGCAGGACTGAAATTTAAGAATTTTATTAAATTTTATTCGTAGGAAGTCTTTATTTTGCAAGTGTTTCTTTTTCAACCTACCCTGTACAGGCATCTTTATGCCACCAGTCTCCAAAATGTGAATAGACTTTCTTTTCTGAATTATGTACTCTCTCACACAAATCACACATCCTCTAGAAGTGTAAGGACGATTAGGAAATGTCGTCTTTTATCTACGCGGCATTCAATTGTAAAAAAATTTGTTTCAGAAAATTTGAACAGCCTCAGCTCATGAAGAAATACGAACTAAGTGAACTCTTTTGAATAGTAGTTAACCATGATTGCGCACATATTTGCGTCAATTTTATTTTGCCCAACTTGCATATTTGCTTGCGAACCAAATGAATTAATTTCAGTGTTTTTTTTCAATAACTTTAAAATAGTTTGCACTAGAACCCCTTACAGTTACATAAAGGGTACATGGCATAGAAGAGGTTAGTTATTATATACAGAAAAAAGAATTTATGATTTAGGACGTTTCAGTCAGAGAGTCGAGAAAACAATTCAGAAATAAGAATTTATAGAAAAGTACTTTCGTCAATAATATTCCTTCCTATTTTAATCAAGGTTGTGTAATAAGGTTGCATACTCTCGATACGCTCCAGCCTCCAATGCACAGAAAATGTCGTCTCATGAGGCTTGAGCATAGCTCATAAAATCCGCATCCCAGGAAACACAACTGGATGATACAACTATTTGATAACTAGTTGTTCTAAACTCCACTTGAAAACTTCATTTAAACTCGACTGAAACTCGACTTTTTGAATCCCAGTTTTTAACAAGTCAGGGTGAAAACTTGGATTTAAAAACTCCACTTCAAAACTCCACTTCAACTCGACTTTAACTCCACTTTTGAACTCTTCAGTCACCAACTGGGTGTAATCTGGGTGCATAAACTCGACTTAAACTTGACTTTTGAATCCCAGTTTTTTCCAAGTCAAGGCTAAAACTTGGATTTCAAAACTCCACATCAAAACTCCACTTAAACTTGACTTTAACTCCACTTTTTAACTACAGTAACCAGCCGGGTGAAATCTGGGTGCATAAACTCCACTTAAAATCAACTTTTTGAATCCTAGTTTCTGTGTCAATATATTCACGAAACCTCAACTGCACAAAAATGCATTTTTAAGTGAGAATTTGATAGTATTTAATGATTTTTCAAAAGAATTAATATATTTAAAAAATTTTATGCAACTATTTTGGTAATTACAATATTTCAAAATTTATAATATCATTTTGGAGTAAATTGATGTTTTCATTAGAATCAATGTCAGTAAATTCTTGATTTTTTGATAAATAGAAGTTTCACTTAAACAGTCTTGTAACAGGTATAACGGTAAGTTAATACAGTATAACATATATTGAATATATGTAATTGTTAAAGATTTGTGCTGTATGTATGTATGAGTGTTAATTTAGATTATTACAGATGGAGTAATGATGATGGGGTGAAACTGGATTGATTGGTGATATCTGGATGATATGTGGATGATATCATCTGGATGGTATGTGGGTGATATCATCTAGATATCACCCACATAGCATCCAAATATCACCCATATATCATCCATATGATATGTGGGTGATATCATCCAGATATACCAGCATATCATCCATATATCACCCACATATCATCCACATATTATCCATATATCACCCACATATCATCCAGATATCATCCATATATTACACATATCATCCAAATATTACCCACATCTCTTCCAAATATCACCCAGACAATATTTTTAACAACCCCCCAACTTGATGACAAGTTAAGTTTTAACCGAGATATGGCACGACTATTGCAGAAAAAACTCCACTTTGAAATAAGAATTTCCATCGTAATAGGATGTTCACTTACGCAAAATTACGTGCAGTTACGTAAAATAATTTTCATTTCATGTAATTTCGCAGCATTTCACGTACCTGGCGAAACTTCAATTTCAAAAAATTATGGCGTAATTTCTACAACATTATTTCGCGAAATTTTGTAATAATTATGTGTAATTAGCGAAACTTCGCTTTCGCGAAATTATGGCATAATTTCGCGTAATTTCTTCGTGAAAATGTTGCAATAATTACGCCAAATTAGCGAAACCTCCATATAAACTGCAGCCTACAGGAGAACATTTTAACCTTCCTGAACATGAATTCTACCATCTAAAAGTTAGCATACTAGAGAAGGTTTGGGACTTTGTGAGAAGTTTACTTTAAGTACTTTAAGTAATACATCAGATGTTTTATGACTGATCTCACAGGAATGAACAGAAAAAAATAGTTTTTATTTAATTGTTAACTATAATTCAGTATTTTAAAGAAAGAAAGGAGTCACGGAAGTTCGTAGTAAGATTTTGACTCCACTGGACACCACCAGAGGGAATTCTTTTTCACTGGAGGGGTTTGAAAAAATGCTTTTTATAATTCAAAACTTTACGCAAGGTGATTTTGTGGAATTATAAACCCCGAGGAAGGATATCTGAATCCCTCCAGTGGAATTATAAACCCCTAGGAAGGATAACTGAATCCCTCCAGTGGAATTATAACCCCCCCAGGAAGGATATCTGAATCCCTCCAGTGGAATGTAAATCACCCTGCGTAAAGTTTTAATTGTAAAAGGCATTTTTTGAAGCCCCTCCAGTGAAAATAAAATCCCTCCGGTGGTCTCCAGTAGAATCGAAATCTTACTACGAACTTCTTTGAGTCGAAAGAAAGACTATTTAGAATTTACGTTAGAACTGACAAGGGTGAACCTAGACCGAAATATATTTTCAATAAAATGTGGAAATAACATCTACTTTTTTTTCACTATAAACGAATTTTAATTCAATTTGAAAGTATTTAAATCATCCAATCAGATTGGACATGGTTGTAACGTACATATCCTTACACATATTTTCCCGCTATATTAATTTCTGAGAATTAATATGTACTTTACAAATTACGGAATGGTTTCGTATTACTTACTTTCGTACGTTTCTTTCGTATACGTAATTAGCATGTAATTTTGCGTAATGCTCCTCCCTAAGAGAAAGAAAGTGTTACGGGTAATTACGAGTAATTATGTGTAACGTAATTACGACTGGAAACCCTATTTAAAATTCGATTAAAACTCCACTTCTCATCATCCAGATATTACCCAAATATCATCCAAATATCATCCAGAAATCGGCCAGAAATCATCCAGAAATCATCCAAAAATCATCCAAAATTCATCCAGAAATCATCCAGATATCATCTAGTCGACACCGTGGTAAAAAGTCGAGTTTTCATCCAGATATGGCACGACTATTGCAGGTAAGAACTTTTAAACTCGATTAAACCTCCACTTTTGGAAGGCAAAAGTCGATTTTAACTCGAGTTTTTGTTTGCTGGGATATAGCTGCACTCTCACCTTTATAATCAGTGACGTCATATGCGAATTTTATTTATCTATGATATGGAGACAACATTTTTGGAGCGCATCAAGAGTATTATGTAACCTGAGATACTGACGAGACAATTGTGTATGTCGTCTTCCATTCCAGATATTTGTTATATTCCTAAATATATACAATTTATATTCTTTCTTTTCTATACATCTACACAAAATAAAAAAAATAGATAATACATAACGGTGGTAATAGGAAAACAACAAAAGCTCCAAAAAAATATGAGAAATCTTACATTTTTTTCAATTTTTTTTTTGAATTATTTAAATGTTATAAAACTGGAAAAGTTTATAATTTAAGTTAAAAGTGATGTTATAATGAATAAAATATTGTTAATTTGTTGGCCATTTAGTTTTGTTCGTTTTATACAGGGTGTCCCAAAAAACATGGGAATTCAGTGACGAATTCTATATCGTCTTTTCAAATAATTCTTTGATTTAGTATAGTGATACCTACTGAGAAAGCTGTAATCTGTAAGAGTTTCGTCTGCTATGTTTACATTTGGTTTGTTTATGTTTTGACTGCAACCGGTTGTACTTAGTAAAACAAGAAAATTACAGTATACAAACAGAGTAAACTTGTCCGTATTCACTGTTCATCTTGCGGAGACATTATAGACACATCTTTGCAGTCTTTTACCCTTTTCATAAAATAAACTCTAGCAGACATAATAATTATGGCTTTTGAAATTAGGTATTACAATGCTAATTCATAAAAAAACGATATCGAATTCGTCACTGAATTCCCATGTTTTTTTGGGGACACCCTGTATCTCCCTCAGTTTTAAAATTTAGCAGAGAACGTAAAAAAACTACTTGTTTTAAATAAACAGTTTTAAAATTTGTAAGGCTTTTCAAAATGATGTTGATCATTTTAAAGTCTAAAAACCTGAAGGGTCTTGAAAAACGAACGAAATGTCACAATGTGTCCCACGAAACGCATGACAGTAGCAAGACGACTTGAACATTGTCTTTGATTTTTGATATAATTTTCTTGATTTATTGGTCAACCTAATTTTAGAAGTAAAATTCTAGAGACAATAAAAATTCTCTAGTCCTGGTGTGGTCTGCCTTTTTTTGTGCTTTCAATATAATCCGAGATATGAGTGATTTCGTTCAAATTTTGATAATTTTTGTTTTCTTTAACAAAATTGAAATCTGAACGAAATTCTTAATATCTCCGGTAATATTAAAATCACAAAAAGGCAGACCACATTTTGGAAACACCAGGACTTTGAGAATGTTGTGATTATTGTTTCAAGAATCATGCACATTAAAGTAGGTTGACGACTTAATGTCACAAATAAATTCAAATAATAAAGACGACTTTCAAGTCGTCTTGTTAATGTCAGGTTAAGTGGGACACCCTGTAGCTTGAATAGCATTACCGTTTGGTTTTTATGAAGCTTGAGAAGGTACTTTGACAGATGTTCAGGGGATTCAAAATCCTTGAAAAAAATTAGAATTTCAGTTCTTATTCCAATTCCAATTTAGCTATTATACAATATTTAGCAAGTTCTATTTCTTAATTTTGTTGAAATTCCATTTTTATTGCAAAAATAAGTTATTTTGCAAAAAATTTTAATATAAAAATAAATTATTTTTGAAATTATATTGTTTTTTTGTTGCAAAATTCATTTATATTACAAAAAATGGGTTAAAATGTGAAACATTTATTATTTTTGAAAATTACATTGTTTTTGTTGCAAAATTAAGTTACATTACAAAAAATTGGTTAAAATCTGAAATATTATTTTTGAAATTACATTGTTTTTTGTTGCAAAATTCAATTATCTATATATAAATTTGGCTTGTCGGTCTGTTTGTCTGTCTGTTTGTATCCAATAAACGTCAAAACGGCTGAACCGATCGGGCCCAATTTTTTTGTGGGACATCACGTGACCACAGGGAAGGTTTATGAATGATAAAAATTTTAAAAAATTGTGTTTTAAAAGTTTTTAACTTGTAAAAAATTCTAAATTCTTAAAAATCCGCCAATTTTTTTTTTAAATCCGCAAAATTTTTTTCTTCTTTGTTTTAAAATGTCAACAAAAAGAACATGTTCACAATTTAAATAGAAGATGGGCGTGAAGCGCCCTAAAAGCCTAGTTTTACAAAAATGGGTTTAAATCTGAAATATTATTTTTGAAATTATATTGTTTTTTGTTGCAAAATTCAATTATATTACAATTAAAAAGGGATTAAAATCTGAAATATTTATTATTATGCCTGAACATTTATGAAGGAATGTGGTGGTGCCAAATCAGTATAGTTTGCCGATCCTGGAAAAAATTATGATGCATTGAAAATCAGCGTTTTTGCATATTTATTATTTATACCTTAAATGTTAAATATATATTAGAAAATTTTCTACCCAATTACCTAAGACAACTGGTACCAGATTCTGAGCTAAATATAACATTTGAAGGATAGCTTCAGTGAGAATCAGAAAATGTGTTAGACTTAAGACATGATTTTACATAGTCTATTGAACAAAAGACTCAGCCATTGTGATGTGTAAACAGACCCGTTTCACTTAATAAGCTATTTTATAAGTTACTAGAAAAGCTTATTGCTTTGTAACATAATTAAGTTCACTTCAACATTACTCTAATGTGGTTTTCCTATACCGCAGATTTTTTGATGCTCACTGTACAAGTTGGGAGGACTTTTTTATTCCAAATATTTTTAACAATGTTTTTATAATTTATTTTTTTAACAGTTTTTAGAAAATAAAATGGTACGAAATTATTAAGTATGCTAAAAAAACAATCAAAACTAGAATCCTAGTATTTTGAAACATATTCTTGGTTGTTATTTTGCAGTTATAATTAATGAGAAACAAGCTAATTATATATCCATTTAAAAAGCAATAGTTCAAATATATTTCCTAAAATTCGCCAGAACTTCTCTGTCACATACTCTTTGCAAAGTGAGTTTTCAAATGACAGATAGAACTTGTAGTTAGTTCCAAGATTATTGAAACAATCTTCATCACAGTTTCCCCAAAATCCCCAAGCAGAACATTTGCCATATTGATCAATAGGAATCCACTTTTTCATTTCCTAATACAGACCAATTTAAATGAATTGGATAGAGGTCGCTGAACTATCAACCGTTGGTTCAACTACTTCCAAAGTTTTCACACAAGCTTAAATCCTAAATCACTGATTAAAAGTTTAAAGTTTGAACAACCCTAACATTGTAAACCAATCAAAAGGATATTGACTCGAAATGGGCGGCGGAAATGGACCTAAGGAAATGCAACTTGAGATAGCATTTTTAATCTTCTGAAATAAATATTCATTTGGTTAAAGGAATTTCATTGTTTGTTTGCAAATGATTCACTGGAATTATGTTTAAAATTGTTTCTTTTAATGAACTTTAAGTTTTATTAGCTACATGAGGCTTTTGTTTGCTTTTACGCGGAGACCTTGAAAATGTTTGGTTTGGAAAGTGAACAGAGGGTCTAGCGGAGGTACAATCTGTCAGAGACGACCATACAAAAGAGTAGATTATGGGGTATGGTTCACAAACATATAGTCAGCTGTTGCTCAGGTTTCCAATCGGAATTGCTCGGAATTGCGCGAAATTGTGCTCAAATTGCGTGAAATTTTGTGGAATCACGTGACTCAAAGAAAATCCATTTCCGCCAGAAACCTTAGCGTAAGCAGACAAAGATGCCGACAATAAGAACCAATCAGAATGTTGCAAATATTGGGCACATCAATCTACTTGCTGAAACAGAACTCGGATCTTAACCCTATAGGATAGTTCAAAAGTTTAAAACGTTAAGCTAAACCAGGAGTAAAAGAGAGTAAAAGAGATGTGGTTGAACCTCCTATTTATAGTTCAACGACTTCTTGAAATTTATTAAATTTGGTCCCAGATAAACTTTATAATTTACCAATGATAAAGGCTAAGAGCAAATATAAGTCGTTATGCTAAACCCTTTCAACGCTTAAAAAATGTTAAAAATATCTTATCGAAAAAATTGTTTATTTTGTTACTCTGACCAATTAATCCTGTTTTTTTGTATTATTATTATCAAAATATTTGAACCTTCTGAATTCACCACATTACAAGTGTTCTTTAATCTTTAAACTGTTTCTGGAAAACATTTTTCAACATGTCTTGGCCTCACGTGTGGCTGGGAGGGGGTGCAGAGCCGCAAGTATCCCCACATTTCAACATCCGAACCACATGATTTGCAGAATAACATCCAAATTGCAGAATCAACATCCAAATTCCACATTGCAACATCTGAACCCTGCATTCTTTTTTCTGTATTGTTACCATAAAAAAGTGGTATGAAATAATGGAAATATAAAGCCAACTGATGTGAGTAAATCTACAGAGTATAGGAAAAAATGTATTTACAAGTAAAAAATGAACAAATAAAGATGATACTTTTGAATCATGGTAATTCGGAGCTCTCTGACAGACTCTCAGTCAATTTCATTCGCCTCGTATGACAAGCTAATCTTCCGTCTTCAGACTCTTCGTGAATACTGACTCTTTTTCAGTTTTAGCCCAGGCTGATCCTATTCTCTCCTTATAAGCGGTGTTTCATGCCTATTGGCCTGATTTTAAATCAGGATCTGGGGCAACGGTTGTTTCGGTTTTCCATGTGTTCAAACATGCGTTCAAAGCATGTTTTCTGTGTTGGCATTTTCTAACGACAACCATTTTTCCACGTTGGCAACTTATCATCCGCTCCACTTTCTGTCCGACCTATAGCTATATACAAAGAGCTAATACATTTCCTGTTTATAGGCCAGACTACTTGCAATCCGAGCTTAGCTCCGGGTCCGTATGAGGACTTAAGGGGTTACATCAATTGAACTATCCAATTTGAGTTTAGCTCAGGGTTTGTATAAGAACTGAGTAAGTATCCCTATTTTGAGCTATTGAGCTAACACCGGTTACAGAATGATTTTTATTTTCAAATGCATATGCTTGAAAATCCCTTAAAAGGAGAAAAATGCATCCAAAAAATACGCTGATGTAAGTTTTACAGAATCCCCAAAAAGGACTAATTATATAGCACTGTCAGAAAAAAAAATTTAGGTTTTCTAACTTTTCGACCACATAATTTGACTTCTAACTTCTCAAAATATATACATCTACTTTTTTAATGTATAGTATCTTTTCCTGTTTCCCAGATCCCCAAATCTGATCCTTTAAAAGTACAATTAATAAAACTTTAAATGATAAAAATAAATCCGACCTATTAGTAAAACTGCAATAGTTTTTCACAGGTTTGGGAATTTGTAACATTTAGAAAAACAAATTTCGCAGCTCTAATTTCATCTTAATGAAGTCTTTTAATACACATTGTCTGTGAGATGGTTTTAAAATAATGCAAATGCCAAACACCACAATGAAGGATTCTGATGTGGAAATGCAGGGTAAATGACAGCTATGCACCCTCTAGGCCCTACTTCTTCTGGACCCGCCACCAGTCACCATGGCGCCACTTTTCCACCACCTGGTGGCAAAAAATGGCAACTTATCATTCCTTTGTTTGGAATGAATTCATTTGCATTGAACAAATCATTAATTTTGAATACTATAAAAATATGGTTTGAAAAACTTAAACATCTTAAGATTTAAAATTTATTTTATTCATCCTTATTTTAACTTGTTTTTTACCTCAACATATTTTTCTCGTTGAGATTGTGTCTCACAATGAGATACAACCCATGCAGCTAGCTTTCTGTCATCTTTACTTCTTGAACTAGTTGCTTTCTTATCAGATATTTTCCCACCAGATTTCATTTCTCCATATGGGAAAAAAATATCAGAATCTCGTTTGTAAGTCATTGTTAAATTAAAAAATGACTTATACCTAAAAAATTTGTTTTAAAAAATGGCCATTTGACTCCAGTTGACAAAAAAGGAACTGAGTTTTTGCCACAGTCTCAAATATTCCAAACCCTATATCTTTGCAATCTGATAGTGTAAACCTTTTATATTTCAAACTTAGATTATTCCCAACCAACCCCGCTGACGGTAATTTAACGCCTTGGATTGACATGCAAGTTGGAGAATTTGGACATCTGCAAGACTCACATTTACACTAGTACCCTACGTCTGATTTAGACAAAAATTTTTTTTTTTTTGCGGTGCTCAGATTAAACGGAGTCAAATTACAAATGGCCTGCTAACTGCAGGGGTCCGTTGTATTTATCTCTGTCTGTTCGTTTGGGCACCATATGTTTTTCCCGGTGCAGCTGTTTTCAAGCTGTTATCCACCCCCCCCTCCCCCCAAAAAAAAGTGTCTCCAAAAAGCATATTTAGGACGTCTTGAGACGCCCTGGCTGGTTCTTCAGAAGACGCTGTCAAGTTTTTTATTTTGGGGTAACTGTGTACGCCCCGTACACAGTTACCCCAAAATAAAAAACTTTTTAAGAGGATAAAAATTGCCCCCTCCAAAAAAATTTTTTTTTAGGGAAACCTGACACCCTGACTTGAAAGCGTCTTATGAAGAACCAGTCATGATCGTCCTAAATATGGTTCTTGATGACGACCCCAGGGTTGCCTTAACTAAAATACAGGGTGTCCCAATAAACATGGGAATTCAGTGACAAGTTCGATATCTTCTTTTCAAATAATTCTTTGATTTAGTATACTGATACCTACTGAGAAAGCTGTAATCTGTAAGAGTTTCATCTGCTATGTTCACATTTTGTTTGTTGATATTTTGGCTGCATAAGGGTGTACTTAGTAAAACAAGAAAAATGCAGTATACAAACAGAGTAAACTTTTCCGTCTTCACTGTTCATATTGTGGATACATTATTGACACATCTTTACAGCCATTTACCTTTCATAAATTAAACTCTAGCAGACATAAT